ATGGGTCACCAAAGAGCTGGATTCGAATCACAGGAACAGAGGAATTGTCAGATTCAATCAGATCTGAGTGTAATATCCTGTCTTGGACAGTGGCTACCACCAGACGCTCCAGTGGAAAGTGCAAGAAACTCTACAATAGGTGCATGTGGAATAATCTGACCCCCAAATTAGGTTTTATCCTGATCCTTAATAGTTAGTTTGGTTTTTGTCCTGAAATATGAGGTTAATATCTCTCCCAGAATTTTTATTAGCATTAACTATTATAAGTCTAGATATTCTTGTTATCTTTATGAATGCTCCATCCCTTTTTGAATCTTTCTAAATTCTTAGCCTCAACAATGTCTTATGGTGCTGAGTTCCACAGACTAATATTATCAGTTTTGAATTTGCCACCTTTCAATTTCATTGACTGTCCCCAGGTATTATGTTATGAGTCACAAGGAACAGAAACTTGCCAATCTAGAAGTCAACTGCTCCGTCAAGACCCCCATAACTTTGGGAAGGCGTACTTTTATAGCTTTGATAGCTTTATTTTGCTTATGATGGTGGCCTAAGTCCACGGAGGTGACTGAGGGATCACAAAGCTTTCATTATGCATAGCATTACTGTCCCAGACAACATCAATACTTTTGAGTCTCAGTATTTCCATAGGTCACGTATCCCTGGTCACTGATTGGCCAGCTGCGGTGTGGGTTGTAGACACCAGGATAGACAGGTGGTGTTGGACGAACATAGCTGAACAGGGCATGCTCCTGACTAGGCTCTATCTGTGGGAGGTAAATACGCAGCTTGTCCAGAAGGTGACCTGGCCAGAAGTTATTGTCGTGAGACTTGTAGCTCAGATTAGACCACTTCGCATGCAGACGTCTGAAAAATATGAGCTAAATAATCAATAACATATTTATATAATGCCTTTCACTTAAAGAAACCAAAATGCTCAATTAATTATATTCATTGTCCAGGGATTTCTTTAGCCATCACTGAAATGCAGCCAATTGTGGGGTGGAACGTGGCAGCTGTTTAACAGGAACACGGCAGAACAGCTCAGGATAGAAAGTGGCAGAGAGCCACATACTGAAATGAAACCACAGTCATGGGCGGCGGGTATCATAGGCTGGGGGAGGCTGTGCCTTCCCAAACAGCCTGGCATGGCCATGGCCGCGCTCCATCCTCAGCCCCCCTCCTGCAGTTCCCGGCGCTCTGCCCTGGCCTGGGTGGCCTGCCACGGGGACTCGGGGCAGCTGGCGCTGGGGCCACGCTGCCCGCCTAGCGCTCGGACCATGTCACCTGGCCGCCAGAGGCTGGGGGCGCTGCGGCCATGCCGCCCAGCGCTCCAGGGCTGGGGCACTGCGTCTGGGCTGCCCAGTGACCCAGCGCTGGGAGTGCTCAGGGCTCCTGTGGGGAAGGGGGAAGGGAGAGGGGACTAGCCTTCCCCAATGGCCGGGTCACCGGCCACCCACGACCACAGTACAAATGCAGGCAAAATTATATTAAATTATATGTATTTATAACCCACCATATGGCCACCCATATTCTGGTACAAGTGTATCTACATATGAGGTTATACCAGTATACCTACTCTGTAAAACTATATCAGTATAACTGGTAAAACTCTCCCATACTGACAAGGCTTCAGAACTCCAGTAGCTTCTGAATAAAGCTGTGTCTGACTGGTTGTTGGGGAAGAGTGTTCTTGAAGCCAACTTAGCCATTGGTTGCCTCTGCTTCGCTATTGTATATGGAGTAAACCATTCTCTGCACAGACCTTGTTAACTGTTCATAATCCTCAAATGACATCCAGCTGCCTCTGTATGCCTTCTGCTTTCCATGTAGTTGCCCCTTAATCCCTGTACCATGCATTCTAGCAGGGAAGATCAAACAGGAATCATTTCAAACTATGAATACACTTTTTGGTAGAGATCTCAACCAACAGACTGGAAACTCATTGGGGAAAATTCCCTTATCTTTCTACATGTCTGTAAATTATCAGGTGTATCCATGGAGTTACATAAATAATAATGCAGTGGGGAAAGATGCTGAATAAGTAATTGTACATGTGCTAGATGTTCCGTTCAGGTTTTCACCATCATCATGGTACATAAGAATACTTAACATCTGTATAGCACTTGGTAAGTTCAAGGCACTGTACAGACATCAATGAAGCAATCCTCCCAATGCCCCATGAGGTAGGTGGGTAAGTAGCACTAGCCCCTTTGTACAGATGACAGCACACATTGACACCAGTGCAACAGTGTCAGTGGAACTGAGAGGAGAATCTGGGTCATTCACTGTCATGATCTTATCAGAGGCTGCCCCCGAATCTATTTCATCCCAATACAGATACACACCATATTGGATGCTGTACCATATCTCGCCAGAAGGACCAGCAAAATGGGGTTTGGGCAAAGAGGAATGAATCACAAGATGGCAGCAGGAACGTTTCCACTCATTGGATCTGATTCCTCTCTTACTTACATCCACGTAAATAGTTGACTTCAGTGGAGTTACTCTGAGTTACACTGTTGTCAAACCAGTGACAGTAACAGGCGAATTGGGCATACTGTGTGTGACTTTCCCTTATGTCTCATGGACACTGGATCACAGGGCCAGCAGGGGAAACTGTATGCTCCATACCTAAAGCAAACATGGTCATCTGCTATAGGGTACACATGCCCTGGAAGAGACACTTGAGCTAGTGAAGGAAAATTCCCACACCCCACCAAAATCAACAACTTTTGCCTCCTTGTCTAAAAAAAAAAAAAAGCCCGAAGCTGCCTACTGATGTTATACCAGCATCCCTTTTAATTATTATTAATAAACTAAGACTGGGGCATCATTGTGTTAGCATTTGACATACACCAAGTCTCTGCCGCAAAGATCTTGCACTCTAAATAGACAAAGGGCAAGAAGAGAAACAAAGGAACAGAAAAGTGAAGTGATTTGCTCAAGGTCACACAGCAGATCAGTGGCAGAAATTGGAAAAGACCCTGGTCTCCTGATTTCCAGTCCAGTGTTTCAGCCACTAGGCCATGCTGCTGCTTGGAGATAAGTCACTATAGGTTTATAACCCACTAAGTGGTCCACTACAGTAGAAACTCTTTGAACAAACCCATTTTTGGCGTTCCTTTTTAATGCATTTCTTAATCCTTGTCTGCTTAAAAGCAGTCGTCTTTGGTGGTGACTCCCATCCATTGTTGTATAGGGACCCCCCGGCTGTCTGATCTTCCGCACATATGCTCCTTCTTTTATTATTTTGTCTCCTGGGTACAGCAGGGCTGTCAGCAAAGAATGCAATAAAAACAAAGCAGTAATAATAACTATATGGCACATGACCTGCTAAACATTTTGAATGGATTATGAGTTCAGTGAAGTGAGGGACTAACAGAAATGGTTTGAGTCTGGCGTAGTGCAGGCAGACCCTGTGCAAGCTTAATCTACAGAGCTCTCCCAGTGCTCTTCAATCCTGACCTGCAGCACTCCTGCTATTCCAGTCCTGCCAGTCCATCTCTTGTCTTCACCTGCAGTATCTCTTGCTAGGCTGAGCTGGAATCTCCTAACACCGCTCTACCCTAGGAGCCTCACTGAAGCACCGCTTGCTATTCCAATCCTTCCTTAGCGCTCTCAACATATTTTAATCCTAACCAGCAGCATCCACTGCTAGACCAATCCTGTTGCTATACACGGAACTGCCAATACACCTCATTCTTCACCCATCTACGTTAGCGTCTGTTTCCCACCCATAGGAAACCCTAAAATAAGAGCCACGCATTTGGGCTGGAGGGCAAAGCTTAGCCTGAATTGTTCTGAGGTAGCACATTTACAGCAAGCCCGAGGTTTTGCTTTACCTTTTTCCAGGACCTTTTCGGTAAGTGGAATGTTATATTCTTTGCATAATTTGAGACACTGCAGATAGACCATGTAGCAGGTCCTTCGATGCTGATCAATTATTTCCCCCATTTCACTCTCCATTGTAGATGGCAAGCAATGTTCATCAATGGCCTTGTTTCCAGATCTCACCAGTCGACAGCGTTCCATCCATTGTATTGGATTGACCTTGGCCTGCAAGTAAAGGGCAGGTCCCCATTAGAGTAGCTGGATAGAACATTTTCATGGCCAAAGGGCTAAATGAATCCCTGGTGTAATTCCACTCACCTCAGTGAAGTTACGCCAGGGATGACTGTGGCTCAGAAGGCACTGTTTGTGTGTACAAATGGAATTCTGTGCATGCAAAATGGGTAACTGTGTTTTCATGAGCACAGGCACTGGTTTGTGAATGAAATCCATCTTGTGTAGAGGGCCAGTACAAGGCCCAGGCACACTCATATCCCACATAAGCCACATTTCGAGTGGTGCATTAGTTGTCTACACAGCAGTGAATTGCACAAGAATTTGCACTAGAAAACACTGTAGTTGTATTTTTCAGAGTTCTTTTGAAAAAAATGAGCCTTATAGTTTTGTTCCCCTTGCTCTTGGCATGTCTTTAGCATTAATTTCCATTACAATGTGTGCCCAGGAGATTCATCAAACCCTGGGAGGTGAGATTGTTAGTTTCAGAAGATACAAATAGCTGGGCCAATGCATCCTGATTTTTTTTTTTAAGAACCTCTCCCATCAGTGGTGCTACCTAATGGTTAGAGCACACAGTGGTGGGAGAGAGAACTCCTGAGTTCTATTCCCAACTCTGCTACTGACCCATTGTGAGTCCTGCTGCGGGATATATAGAAAAGACAGGACAAAGTGCTTGCAGATATCCCATAGGGATTAATCCTGTTTTGATGAGCAGATGGAGTAGAAAAGATGACCTTGATGGACTTTCCATTCTGGGGTATGTAAATCACTTATATTTAGCTGTGCCTCTATTCACCCCTCTGTAAGGAAGGGAATAAAATACCTATACCTCAGAGTGCTGGAGGCAAAATTAATTGTTTATAAAGGGAGAGCGTCAGATAGAAGGTGTCAAGTATCAGGGGGTAGCCGTGTTAGTCTGTATCTACAAAAACAACAAGGAGTCTGGTGGTACCTTAAAGACTAACAGATTTATTTGGGCATAAGCTTTCGTGGGTAAAAACCTCACTTCTTCGGATGCCCCACGAAAGGGTTTTACCCACGAAAGCTTATGCCCAAATAAATCTGTTAGTCTTTAAGGTACCACCAGACTCCTTGTTGTTTTTTTAGATAGAAGGTGCTATATACAGAAGGGCAAAAGATTACTAATCAATAATATTCACATTAAAAGCCCTTGTTTTGGTTTGTTTTTTTCTAAACTGCTATTTCATCCTCAATCTGTCAGACACATGGGAAGGCCTGAAATGCAAAGCA